GGGCCTATAGCTGGTGTCCTTATAGGAGAGGGAGATTTGGATGTAGAGACATAGAGGCACGCGGAAGACACATAAGGAAGGAGGTCTGTAATTACAGAGGCAAAGATTAGAATGATGCAGCTGCAAACCAAGGAATGCCAAGACTTGCTGGCAGTCACCAGAAGCTAGGACAGATTCCCCTTTAGTGCCTCCACAAGGGACCAACCCTGCCGGCACCTTGTGTTTGGACATCTGGCCTCCAGAACTGTGAGATAATACACTTCTGTTGTTTTAAGCCATCCTGTATGTGGTAATTGTTACAGAAGCCCTAGGAAAACAATACAGAGGCTCAGTGAGGAACAGACAACAATGTCAGTTGAGCATTGGAAACAAAGCCAGATACCGGAGTGTGGTTGGAAGAGTAGGTATCCGAATGAATGAGACACCTGACAAAAATATGCATAAACAGGACAGAAGCTACCTTGACTTGGTAGGAAAACAAAGAGCACTTTGGGAATGTTGGGAGATTTCTATATGTGACTAATAATCGTTTTGATTCTGTTATACCATGCAGAAGAGAAACAACAACAGCTTTTCTGGGCTTTTGGGGATTGTTAATATTATGAGAAAACCAATGTGGTTCAAAGAATGTTATTATTTTGCTCACCTGCTACAAACATTGGAAAAAGTAATGTCACCAGGAAAACAATGAAGCAACCTCTCTTTTGGTGCCTGTGATTGTTACAGAGCTTCTCTGCTGACCCTAATCTCTCATTTCATATCTTTGCTTTCTTGGTGTTTCCTCTGCTATTCTTTGTACTTGTATTTTCCTTATTTAAAAAAATCGTACGTATTTTTGTGTAGATCTTGATTGCATATAATCAAATGCTATTACTAGATGAAAATGTTCTGTGGCTATTATTTTAATATGACCCACTTGAAGAAATGAAAGTCCAGTATACTTACAAATACCCCATTAGTATGTGGACTGTAAAGAAAGAAAAAATTTACAGGCCTACAAAACACACAAGACAGGGCCATGAAATTCGAATACAGCAACTTTTACTTTATTAGTTTATTAAAAGTCATGTCTTCATGAACCAAAGCACTCACATGCATAGAGAAGAATTTATTAAATCAAATCAAGGTGGTTGTTTAAATAATTTGGAATATCTGCATATTTGGAAACAAATAGGCAATTACCTGATTTAAAAAAATATTGATGGCTGGCATCCTATAAGCCCACAAAAACGAAATCTGCTTTACTGTATTAGCTGACATATTATCAAAGTAGATAGTTAAAATATTGTCTTAAGAATATATTTTGGGGGCACCTGGGTGGCTCAGTTGTTAAGCGTCTGCCTTCGGCTCAGGTCATGATCCCAGGGTCCTGGGATTGAGCCCTGCATCGGGCTCCCTGCTCCTCGGGAAGCCTGCTTCTCCCTCTCCCACTCCCCCTGCTTGTGTTCCCTCTCTCGTTGTGTCTCTCTCTGTCAAATAAATAAATAAAATCTTTAAAAAAAAAGAATATATTTTGCACTTGTGTGTAATTCAATGAGGTCCTCTGAGAAGACTGTGCCTAAGAGATCAATGGGACTCTGTTATTTTGCTGTATTTTTCAACAGAATTCTTTTTATTAAGTAGTGGAAGAATATCCATAGCTAACATTTATTGAGCACTTGCTATGTGCCAAGAGGTGTTTTAAGTCCTTTATAGGTATTAACTCTGGGAATTATGACAACTCCATGAGGTAGATACTGTTACCTCCATTTTGAGGCTGAGGAAATCACAGTGAGGTTAGAAGAGGACCTGGCCAATTCACCCCCCTAGTAGGAGGCAAAAGCTGGATTTGTAACCAGGCACAGCAGCTCCAGGGAGTGAGCGGTGACCATTTTCTATCTTGGTAGAAAATTCTGGATGTCCTTCACTTTTATTAAGATTATCTATTGCTTTTAGAACATTTTAAATATACCCGCTTGTTCAGTTTTTCTCATATTCAGATTTGAACATTTACATTGTTTATCACATCTTTTGATCTATATCCCGTCATGCAAGTTGTAATTTTGAGTTAAACACAAACACTATTTTTGGCAGCTGCCAAAGTAGACAGATTGAGTGTTTATTTGTGAGAAAGCTATGGTTCACCTTTGAAAATAATTTGTTCTTTATGTGATGTGGAGTCACGTACATTTGAGCATTTCAAAAGAGCTGTAGAGTTTTTCAAGTTTGTAAAGGGTGTAAATGGAATAAATACTGATCTCATAAAAAGTCACAACTACAAGTAAAAACGCCTTATATTTCAGAGAAATATAAGTCTCTGCTCCTCCTACTGATGATGCTGTCTTGAATTTCTAATCTAATTCTGATGGGAGTTGTTCAGTTCCCCACACCTGGAGCTCCAGGGCAGGTCTGATATTCTTCTGAAAAATGTAACTTGTCTTGGACCAACATACTCACTTTTATGTTTTGATTAATGAACAATTTTTAAGGCGAAAAGTGTTAACTTCAAATAAGGTAATTTAAAATAGTGCCAACCTACTGTGATTCCATCTAAATTTAACCAAACAGCAAGGTTATTTTGCACATAAAAATTTTTTTTGTCTTAACTAATTAATATAATTGGGGTGCCTGAGTGGCTCAGTCAGTTAAGCATCTGCCTTTGGCTCAGGTCATGATCTCCAGGTCCTGGGATTGAGCCCCTACTTGGACTCCCTGCTCATCAAGGAGTCTGCTTCTCTCTCTCTCTTTCTCTCTCTGCCCCTCCTCCCTGCTTGGTCTCTCTCTTTCTCTCAAATAAATAAACAAAATCTTAAAAAAAAAAAACACTAACAAATATAATTTAATCTGTAATCAATGAACAGAGGCAGATATCTGCGCTTTACCAGCCATCTACTAGAAGCAGTCCAAGTCTCCCTCATTACAGGAAAAGCTGACCAGAAGTGGAGGCAGTTGTAAAAAGAAATGAAACTGGTTTGTCCTGTTCTTTTATTCCATTCCTTTACTTTTATAACTTATACTAATATTCAAGTATACGTATTATGTAAGTTAAAAATAATTTTTTCGATTGCACTCATAGGTAGTTTTCTGATCCTTAAAACATCATGGCCATATGTATAACCCTGATATTTATGTATATCATATATATCTTATATTTCTATTAAAAAAGAAGAATGAAACTCAGAGATTCTAAATGACTTATACACAGAAACATAAGAAAAAGCCAATGCTTTTTCTACTCTGTTGCCTCGCATCCCAGCTTTTCGAGTCTATTCACAATCTCCCCCCACCCCACCCCAGCCACAACGTTCTCTCTTAGCTGGTGAGTGTCGAGAGTAGGGACCTATATATTTCATTTCCACAGACCTAACAGCCTTCAGGAGAATTCCTGATATATCAGGTCTATAAACCCCTGTCTATATCCCTTAAGGCAAAACATTTATACCCTATATTGTATTATGTAACAACTTCACTGAGATCTGAAGCAGCCCCCTTTAATGGAATATATTAATATTTTTGCAGCATAATATATAAATGCCATACCATTTTGCAGTCATTTGCATAGTTTGTTATAGAAAAAGAAATGGAGAAGTAGGTAAAGTTTGTCTTAATTTCTTCTCCTTCCTTTTCTTTTCTAGGTCTTTCCACATGGAGTCTTCCTTTTGCTGTTGTTGGTGCCTACATTGCTGACAGCTCAGGAAATCAACTTAGGAAAGAAAAATGATTTTACCTGTGGTCAAAAACCCAGCAGACTGAGTACTGCCTCACTCCTGGCTTCCTCTCTTACATTATAATATATTGTTCCCACATCTCATTCGATCCATTTTAACAAGCTTTTGTCACTACCTACTCTATTCCCGTCACTATATTCATCCCAAGAGTCACATAAGCAACACTTTTAAGACATGGCCCTATCTTGCTGAACTTTGAATCAAATTGCAGATGCAAGACATATAATTAGGAAGAAGGTAAATGGCACAAATTATTATAGATTAAGTAATGATGTGATATGAAATGAGGTAGTGGAGAAAACATAGGTCTTGGCCCAGAGAACCTGAATATGAGTTGCTGATCTACAACATGTTAGTTTATTCATAATGAAAATTATATAAATTTTGTATAGTACAGTTACAATCCTTGCTTGGGGATCAGACTCCGTCCAAATCTTGTCTATACCCTTTACCCTCTGTGGGACCTTGGGCAAGCTGCATAATTTATCTAAGCATCACATTTTGTCTTTGCAGTAAAAGTTGGTGTGAGGAGTAAATAAGGTAAGAATTAAATGTGGTGCCTGCATGGTGTTTTCTATTTTTAAAATATGATCTTTGGCAAATAATGAACTTCAGTTTCTAAATACATAAAATTGAAATAATAGTAACATCTCATTCATATCTTTGTGGTGAATATCAAAGGGAGTAGGAAGGGGGTTGACCTTTATTGAGAACATTCTGTGCTAATATACAGATGTATGACTAAATAAAAAGAAAGTTAGAAAGTGAGAATAAAGTGGAAATATTATTAAAATATTGGAAATTAAAAGCCATTAAAAGAGGGATGGGAATGAGCTATTAAATGTTAATTATCACAATTTCACAGAAACAGAAACTGGTGTGTATGGAGGGTAAGTAACTTGCTCAAGTTCTCTCGCTAGTAAGTAGATTCATTCTGGAAGTTGTCTCTTAATCATTTCACAATACTGAGAGACTGAGGCGTGGCAACATTATGGAAGTTGCAGAGACAAGACTCAAGGTCATGTCTCCCTGTAACTTCAATGTCCATTATCATTTCACTTAGCACATAACCTCTCCAAAGGCTCTGAGTTAGAGGATTTCATCCCCACTATGGCCATAGGGACATATGACTGGGTAGTTTCAGTGAATTGGCCCAAGGTTTCTGAGGGATATGGTGGAGCCAAAGTTTTAGCCAGAGTCTGCCTGCCCCTAGAGGTCTATGCTCATTTCACTGCATCCCCCTCACCCATTTTGTGACAAATCCCTCATAGGTCAGACAGAATGGAGACTTACTCTTCTTGGCTTCCTCTAGCTTGTCCTTGGCCCTTTTTTCTGCCTGAAGGAGCTGGTGGATCCCCTGAGACTGGCTGGTCATGGCAGCCTGCTTTGAGTTAGGTGGCTTCTGTGAAATCTGGAAAGTGGTGGATCTATTTATCTAAATCACCACATAACTCAGGTTGTTGTGTCAACGGTGAGTTCTAAACATGGGTGTTTGTTTCAAAATGGTCTGACTGGGCCAGATCGCTGGGCCCCAAGGAGAGCCCAAGGGTGGAATCCAGAAAAACAAGTTAAGTCAAAATGAGGAAGCTGAAAACTTGTCCTTTCAGCCAACTTCAGTATTTGCTATGAAATAAGAGAAATAAATAAAAAATGAGTAAGATGCCTTTTGGAAGATTAGCTTCCTTCTTCTTCCAGGAAATATTGACTTGTTTACTAAATTTTTCTTTCAAGTTGCAAGACCTTTTTTTTTCCTTGTCCATGCAGTTCTGGTTTTAGGGTTTTTTCCTCTATTTGTTTCTAGAGATTCAATTATCTGCTTAGGGCAAATTTTATTAACCTTTCGCTAGGAAGGAGACTTTCTGACTTTGTGCACAGAAGATAGGCTAGGAATCTATTCTTTTCTTTCTGTAGGCCTCAGGTGATAGGAATGAAAAGATTTCTTTGGGGCATTGTGTTGCTTTTTTCGTAATGCTATATGCTGGAGTTCCAGGGAGATCTTAGTGTGGTGACAAAATCAACATGAAGAGAAATTATAACTGTAGGTTTTGAGGATAAATTAAAATAATCTAAACATGTATTTTATATTACTCAGTGTTTATACTGGGTGTTGTCCTAAGATAGTACAGTGAAATCCATCTTGCTTGATTTGATTCAATCCAGTAGTGACCGGGACAATGAGAATGTTGATCACAGTGCAGAATCATAGAATACCATTTTATATGTATCTAGAATTGTTATGTGAAATGAAAAGCTAATCTTTTGATTTGTGGTCAAGGCTTTTTTTTTTTTCCTGAAATGGTTTGCAAATTGGGATTTCACATATTATTTCTTCCATTTACTACACATCAATTGCCTCACTATAAACACCAGGTTGAATTTCTTTCAATAGGGTGCATGGATTTCAAAATAATTGTAAAACAATCTGAGAGCTAATTCTGTTAAGGTTTTAATGTTAACTTTCCCCTAAGTTTAGAGTTATCCCATCATCCATGCCTGTAGCACAACGTTATGTGTACGTCATCTTTAGCAAATCTTTCTCAAATGATCAGCTCTTTTTCACAGGAATACCTTTCTTTCTTTTCGCATTCATATTTAATCAGTTTATAAAATTTAATTTTTATTGCATAATTACAATAATTGGTGTAATTGGAATAAACAGATATGTGAACAAATACAGCTCTGGTAATAGATACTTCAAATGCATAGGAGCAAAAGTGAAGGCAAACTGGAGTGTAGTTCATTAGTGTCAGATTAGGCTTGTTTTAGGCATCAGTTAGTATTAGAACAGAAAATATATATTATGTGAAATGCATAAAATGCTTAACATCACTTCCTGCCACTACCATCAGGTAATATACATCAATGATTCACACTGAGACTAACTATACTATTAGCAAATTCAAACACTTGGAACTCAGCAATATATTGATTAAATTTTAGTTGACAAAGTTCTCATACTCCTATCAGAATCCTGTACGTAATGTTGGATAGCAGTCATGACAAATTTTCAATAACCTAGATATTGAATGGAACAAAAGAATTACCCATTGTTAGTTGCTACTAATACAGTCATATTGTTAGACCTTTTATATATTTGTTTGTTTAATTAATTTTTAATTTTCATTTAAATTCAATTAATTAACATATAGTGTATTATTAGTTTCAGAGGTAGAGGTTAGTGATTCATCAGTTGCATATAACACCCAGTGCTTATTACATCAAGTGTCCTCCTTAATGCTCATCACCCAGTTACCCTTTCCCACTCCCACACCTCTCCCCCAGCAACCCTCAGTTTGTTTCCTATAGTTAAGAGTCTCTTATGGTTTGTCTCCTTCTCTCATTTCATACTATTTTATTTTTCCCTCCCTTCCTCTATGCTCCTTTGTTTTGTTTCCTAAATTCCACATGTGAGTGAAATCATATGATAATTGTCTTTCTCTGACTTATTTTGCTTAGCATAATACCCTCTAGTTCCATCCACAGTCGTTGCAAATGGTAAGATTTCATTTATTTTGATGGCTGGGTAATATTCCATTGTATATATATATACTATATCTTCTTTACCCACTCATTTGTTGATGGACATTCATGTTCTTTCCATAGTTTGGCTATTGTAGACATTGCTGCTATAACATTGGGGTGCAGGTGCCCTTTCCAATCACTATGTTTGTGTCCTTTGGGTAAATACCTAATAGTGCAATTACTGGGTTGTAAGGTAGCTCTATTTTCAACTTTTTGAGGAACCTCCATACTGTTTTCCAGGGTGGCTGCACCAGCTTGCATTCCCACCAGTAGTGTAAGAGGGTTCCCCTTTCTCTGCATCCTCGCCAACATCTGTCGTTTCCTGATGTTAATCTTAGCCATTCTAACTGGTATGAGGTGATATTTAACTGTGGTTTTGATTTGTATTTCTCTGATGCTGAGTGATGTTGAACATTTTTTCCTGTGTTGTTAGACCCTTTCTAAATACCTGTAACATTCAGTGAACATATCAATGGCAGAAAATTTTAATCATATTTTCTTTAAGATCAAAATACATAATTTTTAATTTTATGGCAGAAAGGTTTTTTTCCTTTTATTTAATGGAAAGGCCTTCTCGGCACAAAAATATAGACAGGACATTGTATAGTCTCTCTTGACAAAAAGATGTAAAGTGGAATATCTGGAAGAAGTGTCTTCTTAGGAGATAGACTTTGGACATAACTCAAAGTAGGGAGTTAGAATGGATTCTGTTTTCTCCTGACCCACAAAGGATTACCCTCCCAGTGGAAAGGAGAGATGAAAAGGACCATTCATAACAGAAAAATGGCAAGGAAGCTACTCATCTTATTCTGGGCTCTGGGTGGGGAAAAAAAAAAGTAAAAATAGGTCTATACTTGCATTAGCTTGCAATTATATTACCATGTCTTCCATAGAGATAAAACCATGCTGAACAGAATAAAGTGCAAAACAAATGAGAAGGCAAAGTCAAGGAGAAGTGGACAGTATGGTAGATAGAGCCAGATGCCTAGCAGTGGAATTTGAACTTTATCACACATGCAATGGATTATTTTTATATTTATTTACTATATTATTATATTATGACTATATCATAGTAACTTACTGTAACTGAGTTATTCCTTTTTTAAAAATCAAAGCTAATGCCTGATGTGACTTTTTATTTATAAAATTTACACTTTAAGGATAATCATATTTTGAAAAAATTTATCTGCTAATAACCTAGATTTTGAGTTGTGCTTTTAATATTTTGTAACATTGAGGTATCAGTAGACAAGCATTTCTTTTTCTAGTCACTAATAAAATACCAACTGTGTTTCAAAACTGGGTCTAATTGTAAACAATTTATACTGCATATGTCTATATATTAAATCACTCAATTCTCACCGTAGCACTGGACATGGGTATCATTATCACATATCACATCTTTATTTATCAATAAAGAGACAGGGCTTCTATCAAACAAGACTAATGGTCAAGAAACCATGGCTCAGAAAATATGAGTGAGAGGCCCAAGGTCACGACCTGACCTCAGGGTCAGTCATCTTCCTGCTGCACAATGCTTTTTGTTCCTAGGAAAAATGTCCTTCCATATTCCTTTTTTCTTGATGAAAAAGATAAACGGAAAACAAGGAATATCTATTGGCCTTTCCCTCTGTATAAAAAAAACTGAAAATGTGGGTCAATGAAAATGCCAGATGCTCAAACAATTGATAATAAAAATATCAAAACGAAGTGAGATTTGGCTTAACTGAGATCTTGTTTGTTGAAGATTCCCCCTCCGGAGTGCTCATATTAAGGAAATAGAGTTCTTCGTATCCTATTTATTTGGGACCACTTGCTCTGGTCTTATGGTTTATTATATTCTACTTTTTTTTATACTTAGAAATTAAACCAAATAATAGAGTTTTCTTTAATTTGATTGCTATAAATCATTTTTGGTTTTTATGTTAATGGAATATTAACATTGATGATTTCAATGTATAACACAATTTACTGATACTATTACTTATTCTTTATATATTTTATTACATTATATATAGTGTTATTTTACTATTATTTACTATTTTCAATGATAAATTGAATACTTAGCTATATATTTTTATAAAAATTCCAAGAAGTAGATAGGATTTGGCTTTTCAAATGAAGTAGAGAAATGGGTATATCACTCATAGTAATTTGTAAAGAGGAAGTGTAAAAATCAGTATAGTGTATATTTAGGTCTCTGTTCTTTGATTATCTTTTCTAAATACTTTCATATATTTTTATTAGTGAAAAATGCAAAAAAAATTGTTAAAAATGACAAAATCTTGGGGTGCCTGGGTGGCTCAGTCGGTTAAGCCTCTGCCTTCGGCTCAGGTCATGTTCCCAGGGTTCTGGGATTGAGCCTCACATAGGGCTCCCTGCTCAGCAGTGAGTCTGTTTCTCCCTCTTCCTCTCCCCCTCTGCCTGCTTGTTCTCTCTCTCTCTCAAATAAAGAAATAAAATCTTTAAGAAAAAATGACAAAATCTTAAAATCTGTTCTCTTTGGAAAAGTTTTAATTGTTGAATGTTAAGGATTACAATGAAATGCCTCTTATTTTTACTTGTATTTAACTTGAAAAAAGTTTAACATCAAATGTTTGAATAGCTGTAATTATAAATTTAGCAAGTGTTCAGTATATATATATATATATATATATACACACACACACACATATATATTTGGTTTCTCTTGTTTGAAGTTTCATTTCTACTCAGACTTCCTCTTGCTATACATTCCATCATCACCTCTGCATATTTCAGCTAATCATATAATCCTTTCTTCTTTTGCCCATGTTGGTTTAGCCCCTGAATCTGATTAATAGTGAAAAGTAGATTAATCCCTGGTTTCCTGAAGGCCTGAAGCTTCTAAGCTGTCAACTTCAATCATTAAGCAAAACTCTAA